GAAGGTGTTGCGAAGGATGAGACTAAGATTCTAAGATTATAAGGTGGAGAAGAAAAGATAAGATATTAAGAGCATGTGACAATCTGACAAGTAGATGATGGGGAGGGGGGAGGTGGGGCGGGGGAGAGTGGGGATTCTTAAATCTTGACGTGGGGTCATACAGGGGAGAGGGCCTGGCAGGGTTTAATATAGTGTATTTAAACATTAAATTAAGTTTAAAAAGTTTATTTTTGGGAATTTAAAAGAACAAATAAAAATAATACATATAGTTTGAAACATGAGAAATTGAGCATGTACGTGTGTCTGTACAGTGTACACAGTATATACAGTGTACGTGTGTCTGTACAGTGTACATAGTATATACAGTATACGTTTTCATAAAGTTAAACTTGAAAAAAAAATAGAATTTATCAAATATTTAGAATCTGATGCTCATGTTGGTTCAAACCACAATAACTAAAATAAAGATGTTATTTCAACATTTGTTAGGAAAGTGTAAGTGTATGCAATTATGTATGTAGATTAATTCATTTTTTTTATTTCAATGCTTGAATGTATAACGCTTGTTTTCAGTGGTTAGAATCCTTGTAATATCCTGTTACAGGGTTTCTATTACACCTTATTATTCTGCACACATTTTTAATAGACTTTTGCCAATTCTCAAGTTTCAGGATTTCAACTTAAATTTTGCAGACCCACTTATTTGTGAAGAAAAAATAGCTTAGAGGGGCGGGGGGTGATTGACGGTCTCAATGTCTTATAAAGAGAATTTGTTTCTAAATCCTCTTATCACAGTTCTACAGCTCTACAATTCTACAGTCTACTCACGTTGTTAATACCCTTCAATCATTTACATTCATTCATTTATCCTAGGCCATATTCATTTATTAATACTAGGCCATTTATATTCATTAACATTCATTCATTTATACCAGACCATTTATATTCATCCTTTTATACCAGGCCATTTATATTCATGAACATTCATTCATTAATACAATACCAGGCCATTTATATTCATTAACATTCAGTCATTTATACCAGGCCATTTATATTCATCCTTTTATACCAGGCCAATTATATTCATTCATTCATACCAGGTCCATTTATATTCATGAACATTCATTCATTAATACAATACCAGGCCATTTATATTCATTAACATTCAGTCATTTATACCAGGCCATTTATATTCATCCTTTTATACCAGGCCAATTATATTCATTCATTCATACCAGGTCATTTATATTCATTCATTCATACCAGGCCATTTATATTCATTCATTAATACCAGGCCATTTATATTCATTAACATTCATTCATTAATACAATACCAGGCCATTTATATTCATTCATTTATACCAGTCCATCTATATTCATAATTTTATACCAGACCATTTATATTCATTAATTCAGACCAGATCATTTGCATTCATCTATCCTTACCAGGCCGTTTATATTCATTCATTGATAACCAGGTCATTTATAGTCATTCATTGATACCAGGTTATTTAAATTCATTCATTGATACCAGGTCATTTATATTCATTCATTAATACCATGTTATTTATATTATTTATATTCATTCATTGATACCAGGTCATTTAATATCCATTCATTCATACCAGGTCATTTATATTCATTCATTCATACCAGGTCATTTTATATTCATTCATTGATACCAGGTCATTTAATATCCATTCATTCATGCCAGGTCATTTATATTCATTCATTCATACTAGGTCATTTTATATTTATTTATTTATTCTAGGCCATTTTATATTTATTTATTTATTCCAGGCCATACAAAATTTCTCAAGTTGTTTAAGTTTCGGGTGATTTTTATTAAAAATCTTTGTCCTTCAATTCCTCTCTCTCCCTTCCCCCTAAAACACATAATGCTTAAGGATATTAAACCCCCCCCCCCGTCCCCATCCCCCTCGGCCCTTAAGGTATAATAATATTTAATTAGACAGTTGGTAGACGTATTTAAAATTGCATTTAAATATGCATTTTATACTTGGAATGCAGTCGTCGAGCATAAACTTAAGAAGGGGGTTGGTACGGGCTTGCAGTGGGGGGGGGGAGTGAGAAAGAAATTGAGTTTTTGCCACAAACTCTTATTTTATATTCTCTATGTTTTAGCAACCCAATGTCATAAAAATTTAGATATTTCTAACTATAAATTCAGTTGGATCAAAAAATCTCGGTTTAAATTATCATAGGTTTACTCCATCAGGTTGTAAAGATATAAGTATTAGAAAATTTAAGTTTGTTGCCAAAACTCAATTTCTTAGAAGGAAGGAGGTTAACTTTAAAGGTAGTATTTAAGGAAGGATTAGAGTTAGAGAAAAGGGTGGAATAAGGGGAAAATGTGGGAAGGGGGAATT